GGCCTGTCATAACCGTAAAGACTGTCAAAATGACGGATCCAAGCATTCTTGCCATTCTTGTCATATGTATCTGTAGATTACACATGGAAACACACATTTATTTACTCTTCTCATATGATTAAGACTAACTTATCACTCAGATACAGGCAAATATACAACATATCTTATAACCTTACATGCTTGAGTGGAATATCTTGTTTGCAGTTTATTCAACGATAGGTATGGATTTTTATTTTTAAATAATGGGCTCTGTAGAGGACAATTATATCTGACATGGGCAATGTTCTTTCTTTTCAGTTGGATCCTACTGCCAGTCAGCTGAACTCCAATGATGCCTTTGTCCTGAAAACTCCCTCCGCTGCTTACCTTTGGGTTGGCCAAGGAGCCAGCAATGCTGAGAAATCGGGAGCACAAGAGCTGCTGAAGACACTGGGAGCTCGCCCGGTACAGGTTTCTGAAGGCAGAGAGCCAGGTGAGGGAGGCACAATGGAGTCTGGGGTCATTTCTGTGTAGCTGCACATTCTCAGTAATTATTGAGTGGGTATTTTCTTTTGTCTCCCAGGACAAGGAAATGTGGACATGGGCACAGAGGGGCTTCTCCAAAGCATCTGCATTATGTTTAACAGCACACTCCTGTTTGTAGGCCTTTTGGGACTTTCTGACATAGAAGAGTGCTTCAAGTCCTATCCAAACCGTACTGCTACTGTGGTTTCCATAAATAGTTGAAGCATCAGTATCTCCTTCCCTTTTTCAGATAATTTCTGGGCAGCTTTGGGTGGAAAAGCTCCTTACCGTACCTCTCCCCGGCTGAAGGACAAGAAGATGGATGCTCACCCGCCTCGTCTTTTTGCATGCTCCAACAAGAGCGGACGCTTCATTGTGAGTATCTAAGATGACAGTCAATTAATTCAACATCCATTTGACAAAGCTGGGAGAAACTCCGTCCCAGTCTGCTCTGAGCCAGCCAACCAGCTATTACACCTTATCTTCCTGTGTGGCGTTGCCCCCAGAAGGAAAGCATCAGCAGCATTTTTCTGCGGAGACAGCAGCTAGTTCTGTTGTGCTGTTGGGTCAGCACAGCAACTTTCTGAAGCATCAAACTGCTCCTGCCCTGATTAACAACTAGCAGTCAGACTCCTCAAATTTTAACTCATGAACCCTTCAAGTAAAAAAGAGGCAGCATTACAAGTCTTGGGCATGAGTGAAAGACAGTTTCTCTAGGTAGACAGAAACTGATTTTGTGTTCTGTGATCGAAGAACATTTCTGTGACATAGCCAAATACCATGCCAAGGTCTAGCTTAATGCATCTCACCAACCAGAGGTGAAACTAGAACCTCAGTGAACTGGATTTCTCCCATGAAAGTAAAATGGCGCTTGAAGTAAGTGCTCATCTTTTAACCTTCTGTTTTCCAGATTGAAGAAGTTCCTGGAGATCTGATGCAGGATGACCTTGCTACAGATGATGTTATGCTCCTTGACACATGGGATCAGGTATGTCACATTTACCTAGTGAAGAAGGAAGCAAAGAATAGGCACAAATTGGCTCTAGATCAAGACCCAAATTACAATAGCTGGAAGAGTTGTTGTATTATTGGGTCCTTTCATCTTCAGGCCTGAGAAAAATCACCTCACTAGTGACACTGAAGAGAACTTACACCCGGAACTTGAGAAGAAAAGAATTGGTGTCCTACCACTTCTTGGGTTAGCTTAGGGGCTGAAGAAAACAGGCTGTAGTGTATCATATGTACTCCCCCAGTCTGTAAATGTCTTGTGGGCAGCATCCTTGTCCTGGCTGGAGAGGACTGTGAACCGTTGTCAGGATTCAGCAGTTTAAGATACTGCCAAAAGGCAACTTAAGAGATGAATTTTGTAGGTTTTCTGTAAAAATGTTCAAACATCTGCTAGTTTTTCTTGACGTTAAGCTTGTGTAGAATTTGTTCATGTATCTAGAATTTATGCAGATAAAACGCAGTCAAAAAGCTTCTCGTTATCTACCAATAGCTTCAGTCACACAGGTCAACAACCCAGGCACACCAACACATGTATGTCCCTATTCTGCATCATACTCTGTTCACTGAGACTTTGTCTAAATTAGCCTTTCTTTCATAAAGAGATTGATTGTTGCTGAAACAATTTTTCTTTTTTATTCTTTAGGTCTTTGTATGGATTGGGAAAGATGCCCAAGAAGAAGAAAAGACTGAGGCTTTGAAATCTGGTAATGTCACACTTTCCAAACTAATTGCTTTTTTTTTATCTTCCCACTACCTGATCATAAGGCAGGCAATTTAATATATTGAGAAACATATGTTAATCACAACATAAAATTCAATGTTGTGATCAAAGAGATAACATCTCTCAAGAAAGGAAGATCCCCAAGATCAGCATGAAGAGGTATAGTATTCAGCCACACTGTGCTCAACTGCTAGCAGTGAAAAAGTATCCTGGTGTGGGTAAGTGGGTGTAGGCTGCCACTGTATTACAGTGTTTTATAATCCTAATGCGTTTTCTACAAACAAGTGCTGGTCTTCTAACAGCTGTGGATAAAACCAGAGAGTGGAAACTTTGTGTTTTAAATGAACAATCTGAAATTGTACCTTGAGCATCCATTTAGCTACAATTAAGCTGTTTCAGCTGTAGCTCTATGAGACTTCCACTCTATGCTATTTCCTTCTGCTCATGTGTTCACAGCTAAACGGTACATTGAGACTGATCCAGCCAGCCGGGATAAGAGAACGCCAGTCACAGTCATTAAGCAAGGGTTTGAGCCGCCAACCTTCTCCGGCTGGTTCCTGGGCTGGGATGATGACTACTGGTCTGTTGATCCTCTACAGAGAGCAATGGCAGATGTGGATGTCTAAGTAACAAGTTTTTTCTTTTTATTAAATGGAGCAAGTTTAGTGCCTTCAATGCCTTCAAGAGCTACTTCCTCCTGCAGGATGCATGTTAACAAGGCAATGATGTTAATAGCCAATTAGCTGTGCAATAATTACCGAAAACAATCACGACCAGTCATTGACCCTAATCCTTGCTTTGATTATATTTAATACAATAAAGCTTGTATAGAATATGTGAATAGAAATGGTGGGGTTTGTTATGAAGACATTAAACAGAACCTGTAGGTCCCACATTTGAACTTGCTTGAAACAAATACACCTTGGAAAACTAAACCTTCTTCGTGCCATCTTTTGCACATTCACTTTTTACTAAATGGTTACAAGAAATGACTTTTGATGTTTTGGGATTGTTTTGCTTTCCCCGCACCAGGATTAGTAGCATTTAAGGCCCTGATAAAGTAACCGTATTCTGCTCCTTCAGAAAGTCACTCATTAGTAAACAGCATGTGTTTTTTATTCAGGATGAGAGCAAAAAGCGTGCTTGTGGTGTCAACAAGAATTCACAGGGGTGGCCATCTACAGCAGCAACAGCGGGAGTTACAGATTCACTCACCTTCCCCAAGGACTAACCTCAAGCTGTGCCGTTACTCTGTTTCCCACTTCAAGTGCCTGCGCACAGTAATGCTAATTATTACATCTCTGTTAACCATATTTCTCCCTCCTCTCCCAGCAAAAAAGTCAAGCTCAGCTTATATTAATTGAAGTAGTGACAAACACATGCAGACTGGTATACTGCTTTTATGATGCAGAGGAAAAAAAACGGTTCACAGCAAACAGGCAGAAGAGAAACTGCACCAATTAGCTCAAGCTCCAGTGGTGCTTGGGCACCTTTTCCTAACAGTGACAAAGGTACAGGTCAACAGACCTGTAAATACAGAACTGGCCATAGCAGAGAGGTGATAAAAAACAAGTTAGGAACTTTATGCTGGCCAGTGTGAGAAGGGCACTTACTTACAGTGATCTTGGCTTTTGGTTTTCATTGCCACCTCCCAATAATTAAAGACCAGATGCCAAACTCAGTGGTGGTGGTAGCCTAAAGAGCCTTCCCCCCCGACCCCAACTCTAATTCTCCTCATTTTAATCTGTAATTACATCTACTAAACAGAGAGATACGAAATATGAGTACAGTCTAACAGTCTAACTAACTCAAGACTACGTGAACTGAAGATTACATGCTTTTGGTATTAAGTATAAGGCCCTTAGTGTCACAACACGTATTACAGGTCTGCTCAGAAGAGCATCAACTGGTAAATCACTGGTTTGTTAGAACGGATTTGTAAACAGTACAGCATCTTCTGTTAAACAGCATCACCCCCTGCTAATTACAGAGATCTTACTTCCTAGAGAAGCAGGTTTTACCCCTGGCTAAGAAGCACGAGTCAGGACATTGGCTTTTTAAAATAATTTTTAAAAGAGACAGATAAAGGCAGAGCCAACAACTTTTCAGTGCTTTCCTGAAGCATGAATCTATACAGGCACACCACTGTAACAGCAGAACAGCCATCGGTGCCTGCGAGCATACTGCAGCCCTAACTACAGCTTGTCTGTGCCATCTCTGTGTGGCAGAACAGAGGTGGAAAGTTCCACTTCAGCAACATTGGCCAACAACTGTTCTCATGAATGGGGGACTGTTTTCAGGAGTATGAGCCTGATTTTCTGCAGTACCCAGCATAGTATTCTCACTCCTGTATCAACTGCCATTAGTTTTCTTTGTGTACACTAGAGAACCAATCCACATGACAACACTCCCATGACTTCATTACATGTAGCTACACTCCAAGAGAATACAGTTAGGGCTGTTCCACTTCCCTTGCAGGGCCACAGACCCATTTATTAAAAGGAATACTTCTTTCCAAATGTTGGATCATCTCGTCTTCGCTACAACTGGTTTTATATACCATTTGAAAATGGGAGGTTCTAGATGAAAGGTGTGCCACCCAGGATAGTATGGATACATGCTCATTTAAGATCACAATCTGCTTGTATTCATTTTGAGAGGTTTTCAATGTCAAATATTTTGATTGTTCATATTCTCAAATATCACATATAAGTTTTATAACACACTTAGTATAACAGAAGAGGTTCCTTGCACTTCGTTAAAGCCGCCATAAGCTATAATACACAAGGAGTTCAGCGTTGCAAACATTTGCTGTAGCAAAAACCCCACCCCAAACTCTCTCCTCCCACTCTGCCTAGCGATTTGCACCTATGATGCCCTGCAGCATATTTATGGGCAATGGGAAGACGATGGTGGAGTTCTTTTCCGCAGCAATGGTGGTCAGGGTCTGCAAATAACGAAGCTGAAGAGCAGCAGGGGACTCCGCAATAACCATGGATGCCTCTTTCAGGGCCCTGGAAGCATTCATTTCACCCTCGGCTGCAATCACCTGGGGAAGCAAAATGAGTGAAATGGAATTAATTCTGGCACCGTAGTAAACTAGAAATCTGTAGGATGACTCCAGCCTTAAGTCATATACCGTAGACACTGCACATCACTTTGATCAAGTGACCTCCCCTTACCATGTTCTTCCACCAATTCTGCCTTTTCTCTCGCTCGGACATAAGCTCCTTCCATCTGCCTTTGAGGCCCTGCCTGCCTGCCGGCCTTCCTCCCACTCGCTATCAGGATGCCAGACCTCAAATGCAACGGGTGCATTTGCCCTAATTTCAAAAACTTCTTTTGTGCTTCTTCCAGCACTGCATCTCAAAACCAGAAGGCACTTCCCATGTATCTCTGAAAATACTTTTTACTTAAAGCTGTATTTTTTTGTCTCTACAAGGGCTTGACAGGCAAATGGCATGTTTCTTACTGGGGAAATACCATTTTATCGCCTTGTTCTTTTTAATTATGAGCTCATTAGGGACAGATTTGTGGTCATACATTTCTTAGCTAGCAGGGCCCTTCTGCATTGGGACAACATAAATATTTTCTGAGTATTTGTAAAGGATGTCTGGATTGATGGCACTATTTTAACAGGTAAGTTACTGCTGAGGCAATTTATGTGTGTGTCAGCACAGAGAAGGGCATATTGCCCTACAGAGTTCTGTTGCTAGGACACAATATTCTTTTAAACATCAGAATAAATAATAATAAAAAAATAATCACAAAGTAGTTAAGCTTAAAAAAAAGAAGTAGAAGTTAACACTTGGAGCACTAACATAGGCTTAAAGATATCTTCCTAGATGCAGCACCAACTTCACATTCAATAATTGCTAGCCCCGAAGTCTAATGAAATTCAGCTTAGCATTTATTTCCCATGAAAATAAACTCCAAATTTTATAATTAGAACCTAAAGACAGGTTAAAGTTAATGAAACTCCTAATTAATGGTGGATATGAATATCAGTCATATATATGTGCATAAAAATCACTCACACATGTGTGTGGAGATGAACATCACAAGATTAAATGCAATTTTAATGGCATTACATGAACGCTAGTAAACCTCCCTTTGCCAATACAAATTTTTAGTATTTTGAGTGCAAGTTCCATTTTTCTATGGCAGGGAGCTCAATAGACCACTAATATCTACCAGAAACCCTCACCTATCAGCCTAGTCTACCAAAAAATAGGTTTTGGGACAGCTAGGGTTTCTGTTTGTTTGTTTTTTAAAAGCAGAACCTACAGTTGCATCTATGGACACAGTTTTCAAGACAGGATTAACAAACCACCAGAGGAGACAATTGCAGGGCACAGAACGCTAAGGGAGCAAGCGAACTTGCCTAGTCCTAGAAAAGGAAGCACTAACCACCCCTGAGGTTTTTTACTCCAAACTTCAACATCTAGTACCTCCTTCTCCCACCTCAGAAGGCAATAAGATGTCATGACCAAAGGGATCACCGCTCAGCTTAAGGGTGACAAAACCAAGTATTGCAGCTGTTTTGTTTCTCGTATGAAGTAACAAACAGAAAACAAAGGACTTGCCTAAAATCGGGGCTAGTCAGGAAAAAGATGGAAGTAAGTTTGGCTTCTAATTCACTGTGGGCTCCAGCTAATAAGCTCAAAATTGTTTTGTTTGTGATTTGTTCTTGGAGTGTGGTAAAAAATTGAGATTCTGCGTTTTTGAAGGAAATCTCACCTGCACGAACCACAATGAAATAGTGCCAGCAGCCAGACACAAATCCACAAAAATCCTGCCCTGCACTCCCTATTTGCTACAACACAATCTGGCTGAGAATCTTCATCCTCTACATTACCACATGGAATTATTCATGAAGAAGGGGAAAAAAAAAAAGAATACCGAACCCACATGTTGATGTTATTACCTTAGCTCTCGCCTCCCGGGTAGCTTCTGCTTCTGCAGCCATTGCTCTCTGCAGCTGCACGGGTAATTTCACATCCTTGATCTCCACACGTTCCACCTTAATGCCCCAATCGTCTGTTGCCTCATCAAGTGTGGCCTGTGTAAGGCAGGAAAATGAAGTTAGGCCATCTACCTGGCTGCAAACACTTGTCCAAATTTGAAGAGTGACCAATAAACCAAATGAATTATTTTACAATTCTTGGACTTCATGGGCTTTAGTGTTTACATTATGTAATTATACAAGCGTAACTGTTGTAAACTAACAAAAAACCCCAGAGCTTAATTAATATATTGAAGGAAATTATACCACAGAATTCCTTCGACAGCAGAGTATTGATATAATGATCCAGGGGAGCCCTCCTCTCCTGTATCCCTCATTCCCACTTGCTACCCCGCTGGCCCCTTACTGCTTTAGTCACTCAGTTTTATTACACGGAATGCCATCCCAATAGCTCCTGGTAGGGATTTGCCTAAAGCTCTGAATCACAACTTGGCTTATCACTTAGAAGGTAAAATAAATCCTGACCTGTATGTTATCCATGGGATGGCTGCTTAACTGGCTGTTTGATGGATTTGCTTAGGTAAAGCTGCTCATACCTGCATGCTGTGTGCAATTTCTTCACGATCAGAGAGAATCTGAGAAAGGTTTTTGGTCCCCAGAACGTTCCTCAAAGTAGTCTGTGCTAAGAGACGGGTGGCTGAGTCAGCATTTGTGATATTTGCTACAGCAAGGGTGGCATTGTGAACTCTGTAATACACCACTCCGTCTACATTAATTGTCACAGAGTCCTTGGTCAAGATCTAAAAAGCAATGGGGAAAGCATATAATATTCAATAAATATATGGTTAACCGCTATGTTAATTACATATTTCTTTTCCTAGACAAACTCCTAGTTTTTCCAGGGTAAAGCAACTGTCTTGAAATCAAAAGACCTTATTCACACATGCTGCACGTGAACATGTCTACGTACAGATGCACAAACCTTCCGTTAGAGCTCTGAAAAGCTAAGACTAAATATGGGATTAGAACACTCCTCATAGAAAAATATGTTCCATTAGCTTTGCCATAATGTTATTTCTAACTCACTCCTTCAAATTCACAGTGGGATCTGCCATTCATACAAGTGACGGGGGGAAAAAAAAATTCAGAAATAATTTACACTGAAATGTATGCTCTTTTGCCTGGGAAGCTTTAACCTGTTACTCTGAAACTAGCAACATGTCACAACCAGGTACGTACCCCCCGTTATATTTCAGTGAGGCTTATACTAAGAGATTGACTGTGCCAGAATGCAAAAAGTACGCACGAGACAGAAAAGGCTCCAACGACATTAGCACTCAAAGTTATTTTGTTTAAGTACAGAGGTGGGGATATGGGACCACTACATTCAACACGGTTTCAAGCACTCTAGTTAAGGCACACACTGGAAACATTTATGAGAAGCTCACCTGATGTTTCTGTACAGAGAAAAAAGGCTAATAATGACTATCATTGCAAATAAAAGACACATTAGATCTTCACTTGTGTTTAACTTCAGTCACAAGACTATTGATTTAGCAAGACATAACTCTGCAGGTGTGTCAGTTTATAAAACAAGGGCAAAAGTGTTTCTCGGCTGCACTTTCAAAGAAACATCACAAATGAGTCTCCCATACTGCAGGTGTGACTGTAGCTGAAGGCAGTTGTCAATTACTGCTTATTCCATAATGCAGGAATGGCCAAGCTAGAGGTTCGAGCACAGCAGTGGCTGTGTAAGTTACGTTGTAGAACTGCAGAAACTTTGTAAAAAAGGATGTCAGTGTATAATGAAGCTTCGAGAAACAGAGCGCCATGCCTCTGCGATATTTTAGAAAAGACTGGAAGGTTTGACTGAAGTATGTCTAGCTACTTACAAAATTGTTTTTGCATGTCCCAAGGGCCTGATGTATTTCAGCTGCATGGGTGTCAGCCTTACTTCAACATTTAATTAGAAATATCTCTCATTATCTAGCAGTTCATTGTTGTTCTTGGAGGTACTTCTGATTGAAATGCCACCTTGTGCTACTAAATGAGTATGTGGTGATTTCTAGACAAGTTGCAGAGGAAATCCAATTTGTGAACACCCTCAGAGGTTTATTCAAGTGACGTACTGAATTTAACACTTGTATGTTAAGCAAAGGATGCACTTGCAATGATAGAGACAGATATTCTTGAAGGTTTAGAAGGGGGTACACTAGAAAGAAGCATTGATACTAATTATATTTTAAAGTTAGTTTAAAAAAGATTGTAGTATGCCACATGACCATGAGAAGGTGTCCCAATTCCACATTAGATAATTACTATTAGGTTATTTGACAAGAGAGAGGGATGGGCGAGTTACTTAACTTTCAAGACTTACCTGCTCTGTCCTTCCCCAAACTACCTATTTTAGCTGGCTTTTCATAATAGCATAAGATAAACAAAGAACATGTAGCATGCACAGAAATCATGTTGTACAAATAAAAATGTATTTCTGCTCCTGCCTACGGAACACAAACAAACCTAAATCCATAAGCATAATTTAATCAAGCCCAAAAACCCCCTGTAGAACTGATGGCTTCACTAATGGCACATCAGCAGCTGCAAGCACATTTTGCCTGCCAGCGATTAGGTTTCTACCAATTACCCTTTAGAGTGTACCATGACAGTTGCCATTTGTCTAAATCTGCAACTAATGCTGAGCAATAAACCAACTAGCCAATATGACAGGAAACAGATGCACCAGACAGGTTGCATCAGGCGTCTTTGTCTTGCAAAATACACCAGATACATGAGAGAGACAGTTATAATCATGAACATACGATTGTTCACTAACTTTATTTTTAGAGGGGTAGATTTTTTTATTCTTTTGTTATTCATCAAGCTGGCATCACTGAGTTCAGCTAGCTTAATGCTGTGGAGAGATTCTGCTGAAAAATTAAGATGTGCAAGGAAAAACAGACTAGAAATGAAAGTAATTTTTTTGTTCTTTAGGACCTTCACGCTGAAGGACGTCAGATGACATTAGGTGTGGTACACCTTCATAATGTTCCTGAATTATGGCATAGCAGGACACAGAAGCAATGTGGACACAAAACCCACGTAAGGGAGCAGGCCATTACCCTGTGTTGCTATTGATAGCATTCGATGCATATAATAATTTCATCCCATTATTTTACCTAGTTTATACATCTAGATAAATTGGCATAGGAAAGATCACTGCTGCTTCTGGACATTCTCCATATTTCACAGAAACAATTACAGAATGTTGCATAAAGCCCAGCAGTCTTCATTCCAAACCCCTCCCATTCCAGCTCTTAGACAGGATTAAGTAATCTTATTTGGTCCTTAGCGGACAGTGTAATTTGTTTTCTTTCAGCGATCTTCTCTTATTGAATGATACTGCTAAAGGATATATATTTTTTTCTCCATACACTGAACCCGCACAAGAAATCTACATTAAAACTACATGCTACCCAATAATGAGCAGGGGAAAAAGAAAGTGCAAAAAATTCTGCGAACACTTTAGCAGATACAAAGGCAAGTGCAAACTTACCTCTTGAGGAGGAATATCAAAAGAGATGGTCCTCATATCAACTTTGATGAAGCTGTCTGTGCAGGGCAGGACAAAAAACAAACCTGTATAAAAGAAATTCATTCCAGAAGATGTGAAAATGGGTCATTTTTCATTTCATTTCAGTTGAAACTTGCTACTGAAATAAGCTTAAATCCAACCACTGGAGCTGTATAGCTCTCTTTGTAACAAGCTCAGCAGAATGTTCGCTAGTGGCTTTCAAACCAGGACAAGACTTTCAAAAGTATGCTGAGAATCTTCCATTTATTCAGGTCTAATTTATTTAGAGATCTTTAACATTTGGGAAAAAAAAAAAAAACACCCAGAACTGTTAGCAGCTACTTTTGAAAATTTGTCCCACGTAGTTACTTCTGGGGCCTAATTCTGGTAAGCAGAAACTTTGAACCTCCTTTTGTTCTACTGGATCACTGTAATTCTTCAACTTTACAGCAATGTGGAAGTATTGCAAAATCTGGATGAAAATGAAGGAAGAAGCTCTTGCCCCTTTCTGTCACTTTGAGCAGCAGGAGCAAGAGCCGAAAGTAACATTCTTTCAAATCTCATCAGGATTTCTAGTACACACAGGAGACTTTTCAAAACTATCAAATACTTTAATTGCTTCTATTTCTTTTTGAAGAACATTGAGGCTTTCAGACCATTTGGGTTTTAACTGACATGCAAAACTTCTTAAAATGGCACATTTGACGCCACTACTCCTCCCTTTACATTCTGTGCTTTCGATTCTACCTGAAGACCATGCATTATCTAGGGAGATCTGGGTAAGGCTCACAGATAATGAGTTTATGGTCTTCTCCATATAAAGTAACATATCCTCTTACCGGAAGTTACAAAATTCTTGAGAAAGCCATTTGCTAATCTAATGCAATGTCTCCAGACAGCTATTATTTTGGCAATGACTTAATTAGGACAAATATTAAGAATGCTCTCCAGGACATACCTGGTCCCTTTGCTCCCCCTTTCAAGATGCGTCCAAGTCTAAATATGATTGCTCGCTCGTATTCCTTTATAATCTGTAATAAACAGTTGGATGTCATGCACGGGTTTCCAGAAGCCGTATGATGGATTCCAGACTATGTATACACTAGTCAAGACAGTCTCGAGTCTCAAATGTAACATACATTTCTCTACTGGCTGCTTTTGAAAATTTTAGCCTGACCCGTACTCTCAAAAAGCAAACAGCAAAAGGAACAATCAGGAGGATATTCCACAAGAAATATTCTCCAGACTGTGGCACTGTCTGTCAAAGGCAGAAGCAACAGCACGTCATCTGGGCAGGATCAAGCACTAGAAGCAGCCATCGGGAATATCCTGGCAACAACAAAATGAAGTGCAGTATACGTGACCCAGCAGAGATTTTTCCAGCTCTAACTCTGATGCAGTATCTTAGCCAAAACAAAGCAGGAGCTATTTCCTCCTGTCTGGAAACTGAAAACATCAAGCTCAAAGGGGTCACACATGACACAGTCTCTACAGATCTGTCACATGCAGCCACATATATGTGCATACTTTATATTTACATGCTTCATATTTACATGCATACATATATAGGGAGAGATGTCCTTAAAAAAATTATCAGTCCTCCAAGAGTAATTATGCATTCTTGCAATTATTCTGATCTTCCAGACTAGCTTATATACTAACGACAACTGGGTAGACATAGTGAAGATGTCAATGCAAAAATCATTTTGACTAAATACTGTAATAGCACTTATTTTTTAAGCTTGAAGATTGATGCACTGAAATGTTGGGGTTTGCTATATACTGTCTGCTATAGCTCAAGAAAGAATAGTGTTAGATTAATTTGTGTTTAAAACAAATAAAACAGAGAACAACAACAACAACTAGGAAGCATCTTCATTGCTTAAAGTTTTAATGCAACTTAGCAGTGAACAATTTTACCTTTATGCACATCCAGATTGATAAAGGGAATGTAATAATAGTGAAAAGAAGTGAAGTGATCACCAGGATCCATCCACACAAACCAAGGCCAGTATCAGTCTCATCTGCAAGAAAAGAGCAGGTACTTTCAGATTTTTAAAACCAGGAGTGCCTGTTAAACAAAGTGCCTACAATGATCTTTACGTTGAATATTCTTTGAAATAAGCCACTGTTAGCACTACTCCTCTGGCCAAACTCATTAGGTTTAGATCAGAAGTCAAATTAAAAGCCAAATTCTGCTTTCATTTTCACTAGTCTCTGGAATTTGTCCAAGATAGCTGAGGGCAGAATGCAGTCCAAGTAACATTTATTCAGAATTAAGTATGCTAACATTTAAGTACAGACTCTCAAGTGCCTCCCTCTTCCCCAGTTCTCTCTAGCAGAATGACCAATAGGCAGCAGTAGAAATCTTGTTCTTTTATTGCCTAAGGAATCCTGTCAGAGAAACACTTGCTTAATTGGTGAAATTCAAATACCCCAAAGCCTATCAACTTTAGTCATAGGACAATTAGAATTTGGTTTATGTTCCAGCTGCCATAGGTGCAAATCTAAGAAAACCACAATTCTCCAAACTTTTGTATCTAGGAAGTAGGGTAAGATGCCGTGCAAGACTAGCCAGGCATGAAATGAAGTCTCCATAAAGCATTTCTTGTCCAAAGACTCCTTATGCTTAGAAAACAAACATGATAGTTCTCTGTCACAAAATGACACCAACTGAAGGTCCTTCCAGAATCAGCAAGTAACAAGAGCTAGTGGTTTCCCATACTACACAGCTAAAAAAAGCAATGCACCATGACAAAATGCGGACGTGCTGGGAAGCATTCATAAAGCTATAGGAAGTTTCTTATCCTGCCAGCTAAGACTCCAAGCAGGCTGCCAGGAGCCCGTTGCCAAGTGGGGATATCCCAGCGTGACACCGAGCACTCACAACCATCACAGTTCTACTGTGGAGATACCGAAATTCATCCTTCTCACTCCATCCTTTAAAAAGCCAGAAGTACGAAATGCCAAGAAGCACCCACAAAGCTTAGAAAAACACAATTCCCACATTTAGATGAAAGAATGTTGCTTCAGGACCACACCTCCCCTTCTTGCTGAACTGTAAGCACCCCGTTACAGTGCTGCAAATATACAGACGTTGTCCTAACTTTATCAATGCCACAAATACTGAAAGGACTGGAATATTGTTATCTAATGGACTGCATTCAGCAGCTTGCTTAGAAAGAAACTGCATTAAAGAATCTAGAAGTTTTAGTTTAGTTCTACCTGGAATTATATAATGAATAGTTTTCTGTATTCACCAAACACAACTACAATTCAATTATTACAACAAAACTGCTCAGCTCTAAGAAGTAAGTCTCCGAGTCTCCATACTAACAGTCATTTTAAGTAGAACCAATATTATATAGCAAAATCTTGATTTTGAAAAATATCCATTGATTTTAACAACTCCAGATAGAAGAGTAAGCATTTTATTGTGCCCACAATTGAACTCAGCATGAGCAGTGTATGCCTTGGATAAAGAGGGAAGTGAGACAGATCAGTCATTAGGTATTGCTAACCTTGAACATGAGTAATAGCAAGTAGTAGTATATACTTTGCAAATTTGGATCCATAATATGTGACTAAAGTCAGCAAAATAACTGGGAACCAATATTGAAGTTTCCAGTCCTCATTTTCACTAACGGTGGGTCTTACAGCTATTCCTAGCCTTTCAAGTAAGATGGAATATGGAGGCAGTTGTACTAAGTTTTTGTCTCACAGTATCTTAACTTTATGAAGTTACTCAAAGCTTCTGAAGCCAGGTGGGTATCTTCTCTATAATTTGTATCCCTCCTATATGCCAGTGTAACAACCCTCAAGGACGTGTCATATCATGCATCATTTTCAAATTCCTCCATGGAAAGTTACCTAAAGATATCCCCCTCATCCCCCCTGCCCTGGTTTACTATTGCTTAGTGGAAACACCAGATTAAAGGAGTAATTTCCAGGCCTTCTGTGAAAGTCAAGGAAATGCAGTACCTACACGTAACAGTATTAAGCAGCTGTCAGTGTTAAGCAACATCTGTAAACTCGTTAGCAATGGGAACATTACCTGTCATTTAGCAACAAAGCATTAGTCAGCCTAAAACCATAAAAAGTAGTCACAATCTATACTGGTAAGGAGGAAAAGTCTCCTTCTCTCTTTTACTTAATAACTTTTATAAACCTGAAGGAGCCGAGGATCCTGCTTCAGTCCTACTCTACAGCTTACACACACCCACACCCACCCACACCCCGGCTCTACAGAACTACAGCCTGGAAAAAAATTATCCATTTGCTTCCCCATTGAACATGAAGGTAGAAGCCACAACTCAGATAATGTAAAGTTTCAAAACTGAGTAAGTGCACGCTTTATTTAGCGACAATGATCGTCCCATCGTGGGCGATGTTTCACAATACAAAAAGCGAGAGAGACGCTGCCTCGTGAAAAACTGTATGAAATACAAGAGACACGCTTGGCATCTGTGGATGAACTTTCTTACTGCAATGTTTTAACATCTCATTCATGGGACCTGGGTAACTCCATCAACAGGCCATTCTTGCCAGATTTCTCAGTCAGGCTCATTGATTCTGGATTCTAAACAGCAGCTACTTCGCGAGCACCGAGACTGACAGAGACATCGCAGGCGTAACACGCGGCCTCAGAGGCACCTCTTGCAGACGACACACAGCCCTGCCCACCCAACCTGCTGAAAAAAATAGATTTTACACCACACTAAGTGCTGGCTGCAGCAGACTGCCTCCCAGCCTTCTTTCACCCATCACATATGTGCACCTTTCAACAGAGAAAAAACCTATCTTTGGTTTTGGCAGGCAGTGACAAAGAACAGCTCACAGAGATACTCTTTTCACTAAGCACCCACAAAACACCTAGAGAACTACTGAAAAGAGACTTTAGGCATATGTCGTGATCCAGAGGCAAAGCAAGAATAAAAAGTCTGTCCTTTATTTCTTAGCTGCATCCGTAGCATTCAAGATTAGCTAAGGAGAACTAGAGTAATAAAAAAGGAGAAATGGTTTCGTAGTGAGATTTCTGCCTGGGAACCCTCGAGAACTGGGTTTTGCTTCTCCCTAAGCCAGACTCCCCATGTGACATTTCTGACACCATTATATCATCAAACTCAAAAGAGAGAAAGGCAATTTACTCCTCCCAAAGGGGGGAAAAAACCCCAAACAACAAAGCAAAACCCCAACGAAACTAAAACCTTGCTCATACAACAGATGCATGATCATTAACAATAATTGCTGGGGAGATATATTTAAATATTAATATACTGTAATGTATGTAGCTGCTGAAAAAGCTATGGGAAAAACAATGTAATGGCTTCAAAAAAAGAGACATCACCAAAAACTCAAATGATGTTAAAAACAGAGTACACTACATTTTCTCCACTGTTATTGCTGTTGGGAGCTGTCCCTCATTTTAAAGACACTATGACTTGCAGAGACAAGGCCTAGAAAATATAATAATGAAAAAGACAAATCGACGATTGTATTACAGCTGTTACTACTACTCATAGAACTGGTATTAGTCATAGGAATAATTTCTATCAAGAAATAGTCTTTAACGACGAAAACATCAACTCCGTTTCAATTACATTGGCCATGAAAAGATGCTCAAAGCCCCACTTCTGCCAGAACAAGCCCAATTCCGCCATCTCTAACCATTCCACTGGAAATTTCTTGTAAGTTAAAAATCAGCCAAGCCCACAACTTGAATTTATAGAAGGCTGTTGGTGTCCAAGTCAAGGCAACCAATGCAAAAAACAAAAATTCTTGAGCAACTGTGCAAATGGAAGGCTTCTGCACTGTAGCACAATCGCTTCTTTGTCACTCCTGCTTAACTTTTCATGTGACCTTTAATATTTTTAAATATATTTGTATTTAAAAAGAAACATTCATTAATATTTACTAGCTTATTTGTTTCCCTGTAGGAAGACAATGTTTGTTTCATTGCAAGATGGACCTCCACCCATCCTGTTCCTCCAACAACCCAATCGTCCTCTATGGCACTGACTGCCATACACACACGCAACGATGCCAGATACATCCTGACTTTGGATCATTTCACATTAACAGACAAAGAGGATCCCTTCAGGTCTGGAAAGCCAGTACTCACACAATTTTCTAACAAGAAAACTAAAAAGAATGGTGAAAACACACCCTGGAACTCACTTAACTAAAGTCAAACTGCCTACAAAATATGGGTGCTGCAGATTCACCCAATTAACATTCAAAGTCCACATTCCAGAAATGGTACATTCTTTTGGATATGTATACACATTTTTTTTCCTTAGGAGGTTTTAAAGCTTCAAATTTGTTTCAAATAGAGTTTAGGGAATTGCAAAATATGGTATCATTCCAAGGGATTAAACACAGGGATACTTGGTATTGGCTAGGCCTCCGGTTAACGGCAAACACTGGTTCTAATCTCAAGCAATGCATAACTATCAGCTTTTCTCTTAAAAACAGTCTTGACTTTAAGATTTTTTTGAGTAGACAGATGTATGCAACTAGCTGTTGGAATAATATGCTAAAGGCAGCATATGTGGAACAAAATTACGTTTTTTTCTGTAAGACTGACAGATTTAAAATTTACAAAGAAATTACCATTTCAGTCTGAAAAAGGTGCATTTGAACTAGCTATACCAACACAGGAATATAAGCTATGAAAAAACAGAAAGACTAAAAATATATCAAAGTTACTTGAAAATAAGTAGTATTAGTATTCTAATATTTAATTAAATATAAATGTTTAATAGCCTCTTTTAGCAACTTCAGCTATCATGAACAGCTATGATTTAAAAGCAACTATTGACATGGAAGAGTCTCAAGGCTTAATTACAAGTTAGTCATGAAGGTGTTCTCCATGCTGTAGATGCTGATAAGGCCTCGACAGCAGAAAGTCCATTTTTTTTAAACTTGCAGTAACTCTGGGTACTCAGCTTTGGTCCTCTCTGGATTGATTTTCTAAAGTGCCAACATTCTGTCACATATCCCTACAGCTTCAGTTCAAACATGTGTGATATTCTTGCTCTTTTA